AGCTTTATTTGGAAAAGTTATTTCATGTTATTAACATCACTGGCTTACAAAGAATCCTGAACAATGGAGGGAGTTAAACTTTATGGCACTAGTGATATATTCTAAATCTATGGATGCTACATGATGACTTTTGAAAGCAAATTAAGGGCAGAAGGAATCAAAATGTCATTCTATGTGAATTTGGATGATAACTGAAGAATGTTTATAGATTACTTCTAATATTTATTTGAGTTGATTACAATTTGTTTTCAGTGAGAATACTAGGCATGATTAAAAATCAGGCTTTTTGATTTTACATACCTGGTAGATCCAACTTTATGCAAGGTAACGATTCACCTCTTCCAACTGGACACTTATAGACATCTCCAGTTCTGTTTTGGGGTTGGCCAACTAAAGGAGAACCAATAAGCACCCTGGAAGTTAAATAACTCAATTAATATTTTTGAACAATGAGAAACAGTTTATTTTAATTATTTTATGATAATTCTAAGATAATAGACAGTAGTTCTCATAGACATAATTAGATAATCATCCTCTGTTAGAAATTTAATATTTTATAAAATAAGCAGAGTGCCTTCTCCAAATTGCAGATTGATTTGAATTAAATATATGTGTGTGCGCATGTGTGTAGGAGAGAGATCTCAGAAATTTTGCTTTATTATTTTATCTATCAGTTTATATGATTATTGAATGCTAAAATAATTACTGGCTAAATGTGCTACTGTGTGTTAGTTTACAAAACACGCATGGATGTATAAATGACTATTTCCCATAAGAAACGGATAATTTCATAGGGAAGTCGGGAAATATAAACATGTGTCAGCATAACATTTAACATTAATATTTGCTAAGTTTTTTTTTTTTTTTTTTTGAGACAGAGTCTATCTCTGTCGCCCTGGGTAGAGTGCAGTGGTGTCATCTCAGCTGACTGCAACCTCAGACTCCTGGGCTCAAGTGATCCTCCTGCCTCAGCCTTCTGAATAGCTGGGACTACATGCCAAAGCACCCAGCTAACTTTTTCTATTTTTGGTAGAGATGGGGGTCTTGCTCTTGCTCAGGCTGGTCTTGAACTCCTGACCTCAAGGGATCCTTCTGCCTCAGCCTCCCAGAATGCTGGGATTACAGGTGAGCCACCAGGCCCAGCCAGTATTACTGGTTTATAAGCACTTAGAAAATAAAGATAGATAAGAGACCCAGGTTAAAATCACACACTGTCTTTTAGACAGAATTATAAAACCACTGTAATAGTAATGAATGGAAAAAATTATAATCATGACTAATTTTAGTTCCAACAAGTCATGTAACAGTCTCCCATGATATCTTCAGGAAAAGGATGGATGAGTGTGGTTGAGTATAAGATACTTGGGTGGATCCACAGTTGCTGATTTATTGTGAGCTGAATAGCTATACCCAAAGAGACTAATTGCTAGCAATGAAAGAACTCTCAGTATGTACCATAGACTCTGCACTTGGGGTTGTGTTAGATTAAAATTTTATTAATGATTTCAGTGAAGTACAGAAAGCATAAAAATACTCATCAAGTACATCAATATACAGATTTGAGAATTCAGATGTATCTCAACTACTGGAACAATAAACATAAATAAACTTAAGTTTCATAAGAACCTATATAAATGACTTCACTTAACCTCATACTATTATTTATATCAGTACAGGATGTGGGAAACCTTATTTAATGGGAGTTCATGTGAAAAAGGCATAAGGGATTTAGTTGACAGCACGTAAACATGAGCCAACAGTGTATTTTATTGCCAAAAATGCTAATGTGACCTTAGGCTGCATTGCTGGAAATAGATGCCCTGGTCAAGGAAAGTGATAGC